CGGATCTATTAAGTATCTTACGAAAAGAGGCTATAGAGTTAGACTTCGTTAGGTGCCTATAAAGAATAAGGAGTTTACCCTTAGGCTACTAGCTAAAATATAGGCGAAAAGAGCAACGCGAGATAAATATATCGCTAAACTAGTAACGTTTTAGGTAAAAGTAATAACGTTACGACTACTACTTAACGAATATACTTACGTTCGTTAGATCCTAGAAAGGGTTAGAAAGCACTTAAAGCGCATCGATAAAGCATTGCCGGGCAAGTATACCTATAAGATATACGACGAGCTAACTAAAAAGGAATCTAAAGTATTAGTATAACTTCGAACTAGTAAATCACGACTAAATAGCTACCTTTGTAAAATCGGGGCAGAGGAATCGGATAAGTGCACCTACGGATAGTCGGCGGAAATAGCGGAATATTTCCTCTTTCGATATAGAAGATAGACGGTATAACGAGAGATTATACTACGATATACTCGCGGAAAGGTAGGAGACCTATCTTTCTTCCTAGGAGGTAGGTTAGAGTTAGACGATAATAAGTAGTAGCCTAATATTAAGGCGGTGCGTGTGACGATATAGTTCGCATTAGCGATAAAACGCTTTAGTATAGACCGTTAATAGGCTATATACTAATTAAGAGAAAATTATACTAATATAATAGCCTTTAACTTAGTAGACCGCGCTTTAGTCGCTAAAGGTAGGACGCTAAATACTTAGAGAAACTAACCTTTAAGTAGGCCTATTATATTATAGCGAATAAGGCTAGAAATAGATAAAAAGAAGCGTAGGGCTTTAGGTATAATAGAACTATATATAGTAGGTACGTAGCTTAGTATAGTAGCTCTATAGGGGAACCCTCCGAGCGTAATATAAAATAATAATAATAATTATTATTATTATAGGGCGTAGCACGGGTAGTACTTACTTAGCTAGGTACGTTGCTAATTAAGCTATAGATATACGTAAATCCCTTTTCCCTTATCGCTATAGATTCTAAACTATAAGGGTATATTATAGGATAATATTAAAGGTTCTATTATTATTAATTATAAAAGTAAGAGCTATAAGAAGCTTAGCGTAGAGACTACTAGTAGTTATTGCGGATATAACTAACCCTATTAACTATAGGGCAGCTAGAGCGGGTGCTAGGTAATGCTTCGGCTATAGGTAGTAGAGGCGAAAATTTTAGCACGGAATATATAGCTATATTGTTCTATCTTAAGTAATCGATAGTTATAAAGAGCGTTTTATTATTACGACTAAAGGAGGATTTAAGATTAAATATATAAAGAAATAAGGTTATAAACGGCGTTAGACTATAATGCTATTAAACGCGGGGTCTATCTATAGCTAGTGCCTATACGCAGTATTATAAACCCTAAAAAGCAAAAGACTAGTCGCTCGTAGACGCTACTAGCGCCTATTATATAGCTTACTGCTCGGCACCTAGGCTTACTCTTTCCTTTTCTCCTTTCCCTTTAAATAGATACCTAAAAGAGCATCTATAATCGCCTATAACCCTAAGGCTAATACGCGATACTTACCTAGAGCTTTATCGCTACCTGCCTAATATATAAATACGTATATATTCGGTAGGTGTTAGGCTTTATAAGATAAGTGCTTATATTAGGCTTATTCCTTTATTTTATAAGCTAGCCGCCTTCTTATACTCTTAAGCTCGTTCCGAAAAGGCATTAGCGGGCCCTATAAGGGACTAGTCTCCTATCTAGAATCGACCTATACTTTAATTCGATAATTAGTTAGGACCGTATAACTAATCCCGATCCCGACGTAATTCCCTTATAGGGACCGGTCTCCTATTACCAGCGACCGGCGACAGTTATCCGGTATAGTGCTAGTAACTATAGTAAACCGAGTTTTAAGGTGCTAGTAATAATATCGCAGACCGAGACTAGGATACTAGTAACAGCACTAGGGCGCTTACTAGTCGCTTAAAGATGCCGGTAACCGCTAGGCTAAAGTTACTAGGACCCTTAAGGTGCCTATAACTGCTATGCTCTCGCTGCTAGTAGCGAGGAGCGCGCCTATATTTAGTTGCTAGTAGCCGACTAGGTAACTGTTAGACCTAAGCGCTAAGGGTATTACGCGCGCTATTACGTGATATTAGTACTTTTATCCTTTACGCGATAAAGCCTTATAGGAGACCGGTCCCCTATAGGGCCCGCTAATGCCTTTTCGGAACGAGCTTAAGAGTATAAGAAGGCGGCTAGCTTATAAAATAAAGGAATAAGCCTAATATAAGCACTTATCTTATACGCCTAACACCTACCTAATATATACGCGGTAGGTAGCGATAAAGCTATAGGTAGGTATCGTATAATAGCCTTAGGGTTATAGGCTATTATAGATGCCCTTTTAGGTGTCTTTTTAAAGGGAAAGGAGGAAAGAGAAGAGTATAAGCGTAGGTACCGAGTAGTAAGCTATATATGCAATTAGGAGACTATTTTATAGGCGCTAGTAGCGGCTACGTATAACTATTTTTTTGCTTTTTAGGGTTAAAGGTACTACGTATAGGCACTAGCTATAGCTAGACCCTGCGTTTAATAGTATTATAGTCTAACGCCGTTTATAACCTTATTTCTTTATATATTTAATCTTAAATCCTCCTTTAGTCGTAATAATAAAACGCTCTTTACGACTATCGATTACTTAAGTATAAGGAACGGTGTTCTTACTATAAATAAAGCAGCTATAATATACTCTCCCGATTATATAAGCCAATAAGTAGTATATTAATTATAGACAAAATTTCATCTTATAGAGCAAGAATCGCTCGTTATTTTGCATGTTATTATGCATTAAACGGGCTGCCGGTTATCGTACAATCGGGAATCGAAGGAACAGAGCTAGCTTGGAATGCTAGCTAAGACCTCTTAAGAACACCGGCACGACCAACCTCCTTTAAACACGAATATCAGTGGAACCAAGACACTTCTAGATTCACTCGAGGTATCACGGAATTCCTTAGTCTCAGGGCTATACGGCAGCCTAAATCTGGTCCCGAAAGGTTCTTCCGTTCAGCTACAATTGTCTATATAAGACAGCATGTCCGCTGGTAGATAGATAGAGAATCATTAACTTCAACACCTCTTCCACACACCAATACACTACCAATAAATTCCGTTGAAAATCCTACCTTATACTCCTTCTTCCCCTCTATCACGTAGTCTTACGTGATTCCTTGATTTCCCAAAATTCCGCTTTTGCTCATATACCTTAAGATTAAGATAGAATAATATAGCTATATATTCCGTGCTAAAATTTTCGCCTCTACTACCTATAGCCGAAGCATTACCTAGAACCCGCTCTAGCCGCCCTATAGTTAGTAGGGTTAGCTATAGCCCGCACTAACTTTAACTAGCGTACTAGGGTCTATCTAAGCTATTATTGCCCGGTACGATATTAAGAGAATAAGATTTATATCTTATTCGGCGTCGATAATATAGGCAGATCGGCCCGTTATATAATTATATATCTTAACATCGACTATAAATCTAGGTTTATATTACGTGCTAGCTAAAGCAGACCTCTAAGATATTTCGGAGGTAAGCGTTAGAAACGGGAGGATGCTATTATATTAAAAGGATCCTACCTCTTAAGCGTCGAATAGGCTCTTTAGAGATTAATAATTATATTACTGGCCCCCGTTCTTTACTCTCTATTTCGTCGTAATCGTGCGCCTCTCGCTTACCCCGTAACCGTTATTATCGCTTTACTTGCCTTCTTGCTTTTTCTGCTTCTTCCCGGCTACGGGATGGTGCCCGAATGGCCGATTTCTTTGCCTACCTTTATATATGCTTTAGTTCTTAGCGCTACCGCCTGCTTACGTCTTTTTCTCTCGCCTCTATCTTTGTCTTATTTATCTCTTAAATCTTCGGTCTTCGTTCCTTAAGGCTCTTCGCGTAATCTATAAGGGTTGCCTTGCCTATACCTATAGGCTTATAGTAAGCGGTGACTAATATAGTAGGCGGTGGCCTATCGTAGTAGCTAGTAACTAATATAGTAGGCGGTGACTAATATAGTAGGCGGTGACTAATATAGCAGGCGGTGACCTATTAAAGTAGGCGGTGACCGTGGTAGGAGGCTCATAGGTAAGTTAACCCCTTATAGTTGCGCAAAGAGCCCTAAGGAACGAAGATAGAGGTTAGAATAAAAACCCGAAAGGCAGGCAGTAGCGTTAGAAACTAAAGCATGCAAGAATGTAAGTAAAGAAAGGGGCCATTGTTAGAAGAGACAGCTGGTCTCCTCTAACAGTCATTATAAAAAGCAAGAACGTAGCTAAAGCGGTGTCAGGCTACGGGTAATAGAAGAGGAAGGGAATATAAGGAAGGTACATAGGCAAGATTTCTAGAGAAAAGCAGCCGCTCTTTATCTTAGTCACCGATCTAGGCACTCGGCCTACGGCCTCGCGGTCGGCCTAGGCGGCCAGGCGGGAGGAGCGAGAAGGGAAGTAGACGGGATGCGGCTGCCTAGCCAGGGCGAGCGCTTCGTCGACGGCCGGTCACAGATAGACAGATACACTAGTAGGAGAAGGAGGTATTAGTAATTGACGAGGTTAGCATGCACGAGGCGCGAACGCTACACGCGGCCAATAAGCGGCTCTGCCGGCTGCGGGGGTCGCCTTAAGACTTTAGCAGGGTCCCGGCAGCGATCCTCTACGGCGACTTCCACCAGTTCCGGCCGGTGCAAGTGTTAGAGGACTCTAGTGGGATCTGGAAGGTTCCATGGATATGGCGACTCCGTCGCCTAAGTCTATATAGACTCGGATCATCATTATATCTATAGCTAGATAGACAAGCATCAATAGATTGCTCACTTATCCTTTCTAATCCGCAGGTGCGGACAATAGCAAGTGCGGTCGATCGTGCTGCTAAGCGTGGCCATGCCGTAGGGCGAAGACAGGGCGTTCGCGGCCGAGCAGCGGCGGCAGCACGACAAGGCGCACGCGCTATAGAGGAGGTTCACGACGGTCATCATGCTAGACAAGCAGATACGGGCCGCCGGCGACCCGGAGCTGCGGCGGCTGCTCGGCGGATCCGCGGGGCAGGACCCGTTAGACCTAGACCTACTAAACTCGAGGTGCCATAGGGAGGGCAAGCGGATTGCGTGGGAGACAGGCCTAACGGCAGTGACGCCGCTGACAGGAACCGCTGGAAACTTCACCTAGAGGCGGCGCGCGACTTCCTCTCTAAGAACAAGCAGAAGGAGGGCGCGCCGATAGGGGAGGAGGCGGTGCTAGTGCTAGGCTACGACGACGATAGCGCGACCCTAGTGCCGGCCGTCCTCGTCTTCGTGCCCGGCATGCCAGTCGTCATAAACCAGAACACGCACTAGGGGCTAAAGCCGGTGAACGGGGTTAGGTACACGGTGGTAGACGCGAAGATGGTAAAGTTAGATTACTAGCTAGATAACTAGAGATACCTACTTTCCTCGTAAAGTGCTATATTAAGTTAAAATATAAACTTATTGCTTATTTTACTACGTTTAATATATATAATTTAGTCCGGTCTAAGCTATTATAAACGATATTAATCCTTTTAGCCCCTCCTTCTAGTATAGAAAGGGAGCGGGTGCGAAAGTAGGTTAATACTAGTACTTAAAATAAAGAAACTATATATAGAGCCTACTATAAGCGGCTTACTTTAGACAAGGCCGATATTATTGCGCTAAGGAACCTAACGATATCCCCGTGCAGCGATTAGGACTTTTACGACTATATTAAATAATTATTTTCGTGAATTTATAGATTAGGCTTCGGGGCAGATAGTATTGCATCTCTATACCTACTAGCGTACGGAGACTTCTTATTCTAGGGTTATCTTAGAGGGGGAGTCGAGGTAAGTTATATACGTGCTATAGAAGAGCGGAGGAGGAACTAAAGGACCTTTAGCATCTAGAGCAATATAAATAGCGGCTAGACTTATATAAGTATTGCCTCGGCGCCGCTTTAGACACGGAGTCCCTATTATATCTTATATAATACTATATAGTAGCCGATAATTAAGATAAAGGAGAGGCTAGTATTTCGTAATTAAGTTAGAACGGAAAGACCGAAAGGAGATACCGCGTCTTATCTTATAGCTAAGGGCACTTACGTATAGCCGTAAGAGGTATTATACGGTAACTAATTAGACGATAGTTACTATAATTATTTTGCTTCTATAGTACGTATATAAATCTAACCTAGTAAGCGCTACACCGATATTACTTTATAATCTATAGCTCTAAAAAGAATATAAAGGTCTATAGTATCGTTAAGCAATAAATATTATTCGCTATGCTTTAGCTTAGTGCAATAGTGCACCTATAGGTATCTACGAGACCGCCCTAGAAACGTATTATTAAAACGCTTATAGATCTCCGCTTATAAGAGGTTGCCCTATTCCTTCCTTAGCTTAGTAAGTAGGTTATCTTCTTCGCGCGTAAACCTAGCACTCGTGCCGGAAGTCCGCCCTGCCTAACCGCTAGTCGCTCTAGTAGTCGTAGTACGGCGCGTATTGCCTATAGGAATACTTCCTTAGCTATGCAATATATAAAATAGCTATTTAAATTATACCTAGAATATACCCACGCTATCTACGATAACCCGCTTAAATATAACGTTCTATAGAGGCTACTCCTTAAATATTATAGCGGATATCCCGACGTTTCCGTCTTTAAAGGAGTCGTACGACGCTAGCGGACTAGGTATACTACGTGCTAACGTATATTTAACCTTTCGCATCGGTAGGAAACGGGATACGTTACTACTATAGCGCTAGGGCTTCGTAGTAGTAGAATTATACCTAACCTTCCGACGTTTACGCGGAGATTGCTTAGTAGGGTCGTTAGCGTCGTAGGCCACGCCGTCCTCCTAGCCGCCCCTTTCGCCGCTATTCGCCGCGGCGGGATAATACTCCGTGTCGATATATACGCCGCCGGAATAGTCGTCGTAATCGTCGGAAGTATCTATCTAATATCGCTAGGCCTTACTACTAATCTTATAATTACCTTAGGCTAGGTTACTATTACTTTAATTCGCGCTCTCGGGGGAGTATAATCCCTAAGCCTCTAGTAGTAGGTTAATTAGATACTAGGACTCGGTTTCTATACTATAGTCCTTATAGGCGCCGGCTTTAAGGTCTTATCTTACTAAAATCCCTAGGGATTACTATTTTAAGGCGTAATCCTTATATATTTCGGAAACGTTACCGAGTTATATAAGAATGCTACTCGTAGGTAGATAGTCTAGTTAATTTAGAATGCTCTTAGTAGGGCTCTACGACGCTTTATCCGCTCTAGGCAAGCTATATATAGGCGGTATCGGGGCTAGTATAGGCGAAGGCGCTATAGGGCTACTTAGGACCGATATTAATATTAATAGTCTAGTGCCTATCGTAGCCTTTCTACTAGCTTAATTAACCGTTAATAAACCTAGCCGGCGGGATTCCTCGGCCTTCCTAGCTCCGTTAGACACCGTGCTAAGGCATTCTAGCCTATTCGTTAACCCCCCGACTTATAGGTAATAAGGTATATAAGAACTTACCTATACTATTAGGGCTACTAGTCTATACTTTAGCTATAGATATAACGACGGCGTTAGCCGACGGAAGTATATTAAGAGACCGCGAGTTATCTATATCCTAACTATTACGACTATCGCCCTTACCCCTAACTTAGTTATCTATATTATTAGCCTTAGATTCCGTATTAAATAAAATCGTTATCGGCGTATCTAAATATCGCCTATAGATAGCGGGTATACGGTTTAAGCCTACCCTTGCCCTAGGGGATAAAGCTTATCGCGAGGTCGTAGAAGTAAATAGATACTACTACTACGTTAATAGCCGCGGTAGCCTTAGCTATAGCTGCTTCGTCTACCTACCGCCCCCTAAGGGAGGAACCTAAAAGGCTTAGCTATTAAGAGTAATAGTAGAAGTTATTATTAAGGTAGGCGAATCTTTTATAGGAGTAAGTAACGCTATTCGCCTATAAATAGTTAGAGAACTTTACTAAGAAGTATTATTAGGAGCATGAGTGCTAGATGCCTTAAATATACGAGCGAGCCGCGCTTACTACTCTAGCCGACGCTCCCCTTACCTCGGCTTAAATATACTCCCTAGGCTCTAGGTGCTCTCGGGCTTTCGTATTATTCTATCCGGCCGTCCGTCCGAAACAACGTATAGGGCTAGACCCGCGTAAGCTAGCCTCTTATTTCTCCCGTTTACTCTCTGCTAATTATATAGCTATTAGACTATACCGGACGCGGCTAAAAGGATACTATAGAATCCTCCTCGTAACCCTACTATAGACCGGCTTACGCTATTAGCGGCCCGTTATACTCGGCAGCTCTAAGTTAGCCTTAGGCTCCGTATATTAGTCCTTAATTAGCATTAGTGCTCCCGTCCTATTATTATATTCTACGGGCCTAGATTAAAGGATAAGGCTCGGCACCTAGTTATAGGCGTCCTTAGAGCGCCTTTTCCTAGCTTACGTTTAGCGTAGCAATATATGCCGAGTCGCCTCTACGCGACCCTCTATTAACGGCTAAAATTAATAAAAGGGGGCATAGTTATGCCTTATATAGTATATCGGAAAGAGTCCGGCCGAGGGAACGCCGGGCCATGTCCCTCGTATTAATAGACTATACGCTAGCCTTTCCTCCTTATATTATACTAGTCTATAGCGCGAAAGGGTAATTTAGCTCGTTAGGGATAGCGCCGGTCTAGCCGTGTTAGTTAATAGACCTGCCCCTTATATTACGCGTTAGCGCCATTAGCAACCGCGCATTTTCGTGACCGACTAAGGGGCTTATAGGCTTCCTTTACCTACTAAATAGGGGCTAGCGTCCGTAGGGGCAGCCGTAACGGCAAGAGATAAGACAGTCCGAGGTTAGGTTAGGGATAGAACGTATAGCTAGACGGATAACAATAGCTTTATTTAAGTTAAGGAAGGCGCACTGCGTGACGATAAAGACACGTATGCTTAGTAGTAGTAGTAGCGGCGGCGGCATTTCTAGAAGAAAGGGGCGCAGACGCGTCTAGCGGTAGAGGGCGAAGCGAAGAGGTCTATATAGAGGTCGGCGGTAGACTAGCGGTATAGGCGAGATAAAGACGGTGTGTATAAGGAAGGCGGGCGGAGGCGGAGGATAGGGTACGGTAGTAAGGGCCGAGCGTGTTATAGAAGGAGAGAGAAGTTAAGAGTATATATCGACGAGCGAGGGCAGGTATTAAGATATTTATATTCCTACTATATCGAGCGTTATAACTAGGATCACGGGGCAGGGGCGGGGTTAGGGCGGCGGCGGCGCGATACTTAATCGGCGAGGGGCCATTTCCGGAGGCGGAAGCAGCGTGTTAGAGATTACTAAAGGTATAGACTAAGTAGTTAAAGAATACTTAGGGGTTTTTCGTCCTTTTAAGACTACCTTACTCTTAAAAGCCTACTACTTATAATATCTAAGGCTTTAGTAGCGTATAAAAGAGTAAGAACTAAGCTATTTCTTTATAGCTATTAAGGCCTTATTTCTCTTTAAAATAGTATTTTACTATTAAGTAGTTAAGAAAAAAGTAAAAGGTTTCTAGCTTACTATCTTAATTAAGCTATAGTAATAGCTTTTATTTATTAAGGGCTGCTTTATATATTAACTTCTTAATAGTAAGGGGTATATCTATTAAAGCTAGTATTAAAAGGGTATTAAGGATTTAATATAAAGTCGCTCGTTAGTCTAGGTCTTATAATATCTAGTAAAATAGCTTTATAAATTTTATTTATTTATCTTACTACTAGTAAGCTTTTTCTTATAAGTATTATTAGTATAGCTCTTTTACTTATTACTATACCTATTAATACTAAGCTTTTTTTTATAATAGCTATTATTACTACTACTACCTTAGCTAGTACTACTAAGGTTTTAATATTAAGTTTAATATATTAATAGCTTATACTATTATAAGGTAAGTAAAGGGATATACTATAAGTACCTTTTATTATATTATAATAATAAGCTATATAAGATCTAGCTATACGCTATACTTACTATTATTAGATATTATTTATATATATAGCTTACTTTACCTTATAATACTATTAGCTAAGGTCTAGGCCAATACCTAGACTTATACTAAAGGTAAATACCTTTATACTAAGAAATCCCTTAATAAGGACCTTAGCCTTATTATTTAATAAAAGGACTTTATTTCCTCCTATTAAAGTATAAGTATTATTAAAATAAGATTAAGATAGTATATTTCTTATATAGAGAGATATAAGAAGTATATAAAAAATATACGAAGGTAAAATTAAAAGTAAGGGGTTAGATAAGTAAGGTAAAGAGATTTAATTCTTATAAGGGT